GTTTTTGTTGCCTCCGATGTTCTGGCTTTCACTAGGGACTTCAGATCGTTCAGTGTAACTGTGTAGGTTCCGTACAGAGCACTGAACAAAATCTTGCCCTTGAGAGCCTTGCAATAGCCCTCTCTGCTTTCTTCAGCGGCATTTATTATTGCCGCCCACTCAACACTTTCTCCAATTGCGGTGGGTGTGAAGCTGGCCACATCCTCAATATCACAAATGATTTTGAACAGTCTCCTGTAATGTTCATCTGCTGCAGGATATTGCTTCACGTTTTCCTTATACTCTGCCTGTAGTGAGGCTCTTTTCTCTGCCCAGAATGCATGATAGCAAGGCACCGAGGCGCTCGCCATGTCTGGCACGGCACGGCACGACACGACACAGGCCTCAAGCAAAATCTGATAATTTTAACAACAAAAGACTGAAAATTTCAGAGCTACCAGCAATAGAACTCCTTTATACTCTCCTTGAGCGTGAATCAGTCCTGTCCTGTCAAACAGACAATCTCGAATCCACCACTCGATCCCGATTCCGCATCGAATCCAATCCGCTCAGACGTATACAACAGCACACTAACTCCGAATCGAACTCCTCAACTCCACTCACTCAGCCTCCCGAATCCGTCAGGTATCACTTGGAAACCCATGTGGGAACATTCCACATATTATCACAGCGCTCAGTTTTCACCAGCACGCGCGCTAACCAATCAAATTGCATACAACGTTCGCATTTATACAGCGCTTGCTGCTAGCCCGCATCCACATCATTACGCGCGCTGGCCAAACAACGCTCAGCAAATTTTCGCTCCGCCATAACGCCTTGTATAAAAGGGGGAGCACAAGCTCGCAAGTCATCAGGAGAGTGACATCACGATCGGATATATCATCAGGTCATCATCAGACTGAGTGTGGTCATTTAGACTGGAAGATATCCACATTATTCTGGGAGTCTCGAAACATTTCTGCGGTGAGATGCGTGTTTAGTTCACGGAGGATTCAAGGATTGATTAATTGATTGATTGAAGTTTGGCAGGAGTGAGATTCGGTGGTTGCAGATCAGGAGATTAGTTGAAGAGACGCTTACCGAAGGAGTTTTTGAGCTCTCTCAGGTGACCATAGACTTGGAGTGTGTTTGTCTGCAGCTTACCTGGTTGACTATTCTGCTACCAGTGTATAGTGCGTGGCTAGTGCAATCGGAGGTGGGAGCCGTCCCGTCTGCAAAAGATTATCAAGCAGGCGAAATGACGGAGCCGACCTTTTGTGAAAAGGAGTTTTTGAGCTCTCTCAGGTGACCATAGACTTGGAGTGTGTTTGTCTGCAGCTTACCTGGTTGACTATTCTGCTACCAGTGTATAGTGCGTGGCTAGTGCAATCGGAGGTGGGAGCCGTCCCGTCTGCAAAAGATTATCAAGCAGGCGAAATGACGGAGCCGACCTTTTGTGAAAAGCGATGGAATGCAATCGTGGCTTCCTTTGACAGGAATCACGTAAACTTAAGAAATAGTAATCCTGCCTGCCAGGAAGATATCGAGTTACTGGGCAAAGGCTTACAGACAATAGGGCAGCTTATCCATACATTGCACCCCATAAATGGAAACGACGCAGTATGGAATAAACTTATAACGAAATCCGAGGCCGACAGGACAGTGCTCTGTAAGCACCTCGACGGCAAGGAGCTCCTTACAGCCATGCTGCGCCTCTATGCTGCCATCCACAGGAAGATGCGAGAGTCTCTCCTGCTGGAAGAAAAAGAAGATTCAGCCGAGACATTTCGCGAGCAAAGGAGACGAAAGCGAAACTCCTCAGAAGAATAGACGAAAAAACCGAAGCCATCACCTAGCCCCAGGGACCCTAGGATAAAATCCCAGGGTGAAGTACCAACAAAGAACTTCTTTGCGCCACTGAGGACATCAGGAATGGACGTGGAGGAGACAGCCAACAAGTCGGGAGAACAGCAGCCATCGGACAACAAGCCATGTAGGCCGCGTCCAATTGTACTAACCTCCACGACAAACCTGATGCAGTTGCAGACGAAGGTCAAAGACCTAGTCACGGTCAATTTTGAGTTCCGCAACACCAGAAGTGGGACCAGAATTGTCACGAAGGAAATGGCGGACTTCTCAGCCATCAAAAATTTCCTAGAACGTAACAATCTATCGTACTTTACATACTATCCAAAATCTGATAAACCCATCAAAGCTGTTATCCGTCACCTTCCACAAAATACTCCAGCAGAAGATATTTCTGAAGGTCTGGAGAGTCTGGGGTTTGACGTCATTAGCGTCAAGCAAATGATCAGTCGTGGGACTCCTTCAGAAGGAACAAATACCCCTTACATTCCCTTGTTCCTTGTCACACTTCCTAGAACGGAGAAGTCTCAAGAACTCTTCCGACTGACCAACATCTGCCACATTGCCATCAAGGTAGAGGCGTACGAAGCACAAAGCGGGCTCACAACGTTAAATCTAGTTAAATTGCAGCGCCTTCAAAACAAGGTTCTCCGCACCACTGGCAATTTTCCGAGACGCACACCGGTCCGCGATTTGCACATGGTATTCAAAATCCCGTACGTATATGACTTTATAACAAAATTATGCAGGCAACAAGCAGAAGTCATACAAAATCATGAGAATGAGAATGTTCGCGACATCGGACAAGGCCTAGCCCCCCACAGAAAGTATAAGAGGCTTAAACTTGGCGGCGGTCAGGCATACGACCGTTCAAGTGACTAGACTGCCGGGGTAGCGAATAATACTGGAAACAGGGCGTGATCTGCTCTACTGAGCCTGGACTGACAGAGGTCTTGTGTACATTGTACATAAAAGTAAGAAATAAGTGTGTATTGTAAATATATGTAAATACAGACAGTGGACATATTAATACAGACTGACTGACAAATGACAGACTCGACCTCTCGTCAGAGAGGGCGCCCCACATAGACAAGACAGTAACTTTCATTCAAAAAGAAATATCTGGCCATGAGCCCCAGCTGTGGCTCGACACCAAGACAGACATACTGACTGACCGTCAGTTGCAACATGACTTTACTTTGACTTGATCCCACAGATGAAATAAGTAAATCAAATCTGAACTGAGAAAAATCCAATATAAATTTTATATTGCAATGAGCTCTTTGTTAATTATGGGTATGGGTACTTTCTGTCACGCAAACATAATTAGAATGATGCGAAAATTATCGCATTATACTATAAGCTTCCATAAATAACCACATCCGCAAACCACAAGATGCTCTGAATCCTAGCTGTTGCTAAGTAGTTAACTGGTGAATACTCATATCTTCAGTAAAGGCACTGAATGCGGAGCTGGAACTCACGCGTAAGATTTCACCCGTAATGAACAAAATATCGAACAAATCCTAGATGAATGCCGACAGAATGGAAACAGGTATTTAGCAGATCACAAGAAATTTACTGGTAGGACAATGATGAAACTAGGCGCCTTCTTTCGTGCAATTAACAATTGACAAGCTGCGCCTGCTCTGTGTGATAAACTACCTGACGCGGTGGTACCGAGGAATCTATCGCAAATTATTTCCACGGAGCAGTTCCAGTCGTACCAGTATTTCTTTAAGTTCTTTAATACGCAAATGAACACTATAGTGTTGATGGTGACAGACTGGCCCGGAAAGGTATCCAGCACTTGTTCTTAATTCCTTGACTACTGCGTCATTACAGAAACCCCACCAGTTGCAAAAGTTTGGAAACGTCTGAACCATGGAATATTCGTACTATGAAATTTAGGCCTCGGCAGTCGCTAAAGTTGGTAGCGTTGATAGTGTCCTGGCTGAATTTGCTTCAATATACTACGGCCGCAAAGCAGGTAGCGGCAAGGAGATAGGTTATGTGTGATATATTGCACATGTGGCATTGTTTGGGTACGGTTTCGAGGAAGTAGTGGTTCGTGTTAATAACGAGCGATAACGAGTGTTGCGGCTCATAGGTTTCATAACACGACATACAAAATGTCATCGGATTTAAGCGAAAAAATACTAGAATATGTAGATCAGCTTGGAAGTGTCGACACATTGGATCTGGCAAAACATATGCAAGTAGATCATCAAAAGGTTGTTGGAATTGTGAAGAGTCTGCAAGCAGCAGGTGACTTAATAACAGTAGAGCAGCAGGTCAGTAAAAGGTGGGAGTTAACAGATGAAGGAAAGACAGTTGTAGACAAAGGAAGTCATGAATTTCTTGTTTACAGTGCCATTCCAGCAGAAGGAATTGCTCAGTCAGCTATAATGCAAGCAATACCAAATGCCAGGGTGGGGTTCAGCAAGGCAATGTCATCAGGTTGGATAACAGTTACAAAAAATGCTGGAGAGCCAATTGTAGCTAGAAAAGTGGATGACATAAAGGATACGGTTCGGGATCATCTTCAGCTCATCTTGGCCAAGAGTCCTGATGAAGTCACAGATGAACAGAAGCAGGAATATAAGAAGAGAAAACTCCTTCAGGAAGTAGTAACAAAAAGTTTCTTGTTGGGAAAAGGGAAAAATTTTGCTACATCTGTGGAGAAGCCAGAAACTGAGCTAACACAAGAGATGATTGCAAGTGGTTCTTGGAAGGAGAAGAATTTTAAGCCCTACAACTTGGATTCCCTGGGAATTTCCCCAGAGCGTGGACATTTACATACTCTGCTGAAGGTACGTGATCAGTTCCGTCAGATATTTTTGGAGATGGGTTTCTCAGAAATGCCAACCAACAATTTTGTGGAGAGTTCATTCTGGAACTTTGATGCTCTCTTCCAACCGCAACAACACCCAGCACGGGATGCACATGATACATTCTTCATCTCTGAACCCAAGCTTAGCACGAAGTTCCCTTCTGACTACCTAGAACGTGTAAGACGGGTACACAGTGAGGGAGGGTATGGGTCACAGGGTTATGGCTATGAGTGGAAGATTAAAGAAGCCCAGAAGAACCTTTTGAGAACACACACGACAGCTGTCAGTGCCCGGATGTTGTACCAGCTTGCACAGAAGGAATTCCATCCTGCAAAATACTTCAGCATTGATCGTGTCTTCCGAAATGAAACATTGGATGCCACTCATCTAGCAGAGTTTTATCAGGTAGAGGGTTTAATTGTAGATCACAATCTAACATTGGGTGACCTGATAGGGACTCTTTATGAATTCTTCAAGAAATTGGGCATCTCACAACTGAATTTCAAACCAGCTTACAACCCATACACAGAACCAAGCATGGAGATTTTCTGCTACCACACCGGCCTGCACAAGTGGATTGAAGTTGGTAACTCTGGAGTGTTCCGACCTGAAATGCTCCTGCCAATGGGTCTGCCAGAAGATGTTAATGTAATTGCATGGGGGTTGTCCTTAGAACGACCCACTATGATCAAGTATGGTTTGAACAATATCCGTGATCTTGTTGGTCCTAGAGTGAACATACAAATGGTTCATGATAATCCAATCTGTAGACTTGAGAAGTAGAAGTGGAAGCGCATTGTGTTGTTGATATCCCTTGCCATACACTGTCCGTGTGCTGTTCATTGCAACAATACTCCTGCATGTGGCAGGAAATGTGACATTCTACACTCCTGTTATGAAATTACCACTACAGCTTAATCACCTTTGTATTAAATTATTTGCATTTCTATGTATGCTTCTATTTAACTTTTGATTACAGTAAAACGAGTTGCTTATTTTCTGTGTAATTATGTTTTAAGTCGTCATTTTTGCATGACAGGTGCGAACACCCATGATGATCCACTCATCAAACCTTTATACTTTTCAGATTTAAGGTTATTGTCTTCTGGGATATGGTGCTATGTAGCTTCATAGATAGATGCAATACAGAATTGTAATCTTGAGAGCTGTGAGGAATGCAGAAGTCCAAGCCATTAAAGGTGCAGCAGCAGCATGAATCAGCAACTACTACCTGAGCCAAAACATTTAGTACATACTCTGTAGTGGCTGTACAAGCTCCGTGTCACTGACTTCATCAGGCATAATATTATTGTATTTAGTGTCAGTTTCACTGCTGAAATGATGCTTTGCACAGTAGAGACAAAAATACAGTTGTTCTGGTATGGTTCCAATGAGCACTACGCACAATTATGCTAATGGCCAGTATGTTCTGAACTAATGGTATACACGGTAGGTACGTTTGTTTCCAGCCCTTCCTCACCCCCACAAGTGTCAAGTTTAGAGTGTCCATACCTGTGTTTCAGAGGAAGCTGCTGCCTCCATCTTCAGGGTGTAAGATGTGCTAATCAATCTGTGGAGAGCCTGTGATCATCAAGTAGCAGGATAATTACAGTTGCAAGCAGCCAATTACATGAAAAGGGAAGAATAAGCAAAGATATAAATTGAAATGTAGGTGAAGAGGGAATCATGAGAGGAAGGAACTAAAACAAGAAACATCTCAGAACGTAATATGTGTATTTTAGAGTTCGTCAGGTGATAGGAAAACCTCACACAAGATTAAAGAAAGGAACATTTTAGAAACTGTGACAACGTAAATTGACACAAATGTGGGTTACATAATCATTCTTGCTTAGTTTGTATTTGATTTTGATTGAAATGGGCTTGCATATACTGTGCTGTGCTGGAACTCTGTTGTTACCTCTGAGTTCATATGTTGAACCACAGGTTTCAGTCAGTGAACTAACTGAATTTGTTTGAAAATGCAAGGTTACTGCTTAGGGGATGGGGGATGCATAATGGACCATGACTGATCACTACATTGTCATTCTATTCTATTGTGTACTTTTGAATTGTTCTTAAAAGGCTCCATCAAGTTTTAGAGTTCAGGAATGCTAGTAAAGATTTCTGAAATTCAAAAGGGTGGAAATATCAGTGCTTACCCAATTTTCCTACAACAAAGGATTAACAATGTTATAGTAATGGTTCACTAGTTTTATTTCTACTAACCAAATGGTGTTCAATGGATGCAGCAACACATGAGTGTTCCATTTCCTTTGAATGGTTCATTGACAAGCGATTAACATATAAAGAAGATATCATTTTAGTGTGGTATACACGGTATACATCACCTTGTGACGTGCATTTATCAGTAAGCGATTTAAAATGATTTTCTCCTGTCAGCAAACACTGTATAACAATTTACTTTAACTTTCTCTCTCTATTGTTTTAAAGCCCATTTGACATTGGCCGCTTTTTCAGTTTCTTAATCCTGTACACAATCGGTAGGAGTCCTTGGACAGTGTATCAACCTGTCACAAGGCCGCTATCTACACACAACAGTACAAAGAGAATAAACGCACATAGACATCCATGCCTTGAGTGGGATTCGATCCCAGTGTTCGAGCGGGCGAAGACTTTTCATGCCTCATAGGCCTCTTTTTTTTTCCTTTTTTTTTCCCCCTTTTTTTTTTTTTTTTTTTTTTTTTGGGGTGGGCGGGGGGGGGGGTNCCACTTCTGGCCTATTGTACCAGCCACAGATGATAGGTGAGGGTGATTGTAGAGCAATTGGCGGAATGAAGATTGGCAGAGGAAGCCGAAGTACTCGGAGGAAACCTGCCCCACCGTCACTTTGTCCACCACATATCCCATTTGACCAGGCCCGGGATCGAACCCGGGCCTACGCGGTTGGAAGCCAGCGACTAACCGCTTGAGTTATGGCGCGGCCCTCTCATATTCGTTAGGTCACGTGTCCGCTGTCATCGCCCTCTTAGTTACGACGCTTACGACTTGATATGAAAGTTCATTTTCAATTAATGTTGGTGATCTTGGTAACTTTCTGTCTACGTTCATAATCGTTTATAATGTTGGCAACAAAGACGTTGCCTGACTTGCTTGTAAAGATGACGGCTAGTAATTTTGAATGGTTTCAAATGGCTGTGTCAAAACTTTCGACCGATGATTTAAATAGAACTCAACTTTTATCAGAATTTAAGTTAGCAGTTGGTGCATTACCTACTGCTCAACAGAAATTGATTGTACGTAGTTTGCAGTTGGAGAATATATTTGACTGCTTAAACTCTTCTGAAACGTAAGATGACATTGCTGTTTTCTCACTTATTGAAATTTTGTTCTGATGTGTGTGGTGTTTGTTTAGTAACTGTTGCAGGCCTTATATCGTCATTTGTAATCGGCTTTATGTGAAATCGAAGTTAGGTTATGCAGTTTGAACGTTGTTTGTAAGTGCCAACATACCAAACTTTTCCGTTGACGATTTGAATGAGGCCAAGTTGCATCCAAAATAGGTTATGATGAAAAGGAAAGTTTGTGTTGGCCTGTATCATCGTTTGCCCGGAGGAATGGACGAAATTTTAGGATAATGTTATTCCTGGCAGGAATCGGCCTGGGTTCCCAGCATATGAGAAACACGAATATATCATTATGTCGATTTACTTTAATTGGGTCCAAGCGTTGTCAGATGAGAGCTAACCATTATGTCACTGACTTCAAAAGTACACAGTTAATTTGTAATCTTGATGATGCAGGGAGCAGATTGTTCTGACATGCGATGTGTTATCTCTGCTGTTATCAATCATGGAACCAAGTCTTGTATTTAGACAGTATGAGGAGGCATTGCATAGAGCACTGGGCCATCCTGCCCCATGTGTGAAACAGTTTGCCATTAAAGAGGTAAGTATGTTGTGAAAGAGTTATAATATAGGATTTGAGGTTCTCACAGCAGTGGTTATGAAGAATTCTGCTTTCTGGGATATAATGCCTTGTAGTTCATTGAAAGTCAACCGATGTTTAGGAGAACGTGTCACCTCCGTCTTCAGGGTTGAAGAAAAAGCCAAGCAAGGGACCAGCATGAAGCACATAGCAAGCAGTGCGTGGTAGCTCCGCTTTGTGCCCGCTTCATGCTCTCCTCTTGCTTGACATGATCATTGACCCTGAAGATGGAGGCGACATAACCTAAGCTTTTTTCATCCCCCCATCCTTAACACGTTATAACATATTGTTGTATTAAGTAGATGTTATGGTCATTTGAAATGATGGGAATAGTACCTTACACTGAGGTGAAAGAGTATTGCACAGTTGACAGAGAGCAGAGTGCAGGCCAAGTTGATATACAATATAGAACCTTCAGAAAGACAAGCCAGTCACAATGCAGTCTGTATTTGTAAAATTATAGGAAACTGTGTCTAAAATATTCTGAGGTTATGTCATCATTATAACCATAGTCATCATGCCAGAGCTGTTGCACACACAGGACTTCTGTTCCATGATGTTGCCTGCTCATTGTATAAGATACTGTCAGATGTTTTGGACATGCAGTGCAGTTACACAAAGACAAAACAACTCCATCTATTGTGACTATTTAAGTTTTACTACTTGAAAACTTAACACCCTTACATGTTTCAGGCCTTATGGATCATCTTCAGAGGGAACATCAATACTTATTTGGAAACCACTATCACAATGTTCTGAGTGCTAAATTACATACACACACAATGCCTGGAATACACAATATACACAAAACCCAACTTTTTCACAATTGCAGCAGCTTTCCTGGTATATTCCAGTTTTTAAAACTTTGTTGTTTAAGTTAAAATTTATAAACGAAGTAGGTTCGTGTCACTTCTCCTATTGTCTTTCTTGATGGGGGCTGAACTTGTGCCAGTGCTCATTTGAATTGTTTGCTATTTAATTTTAGTGGGATGTGATTGTATAATTGTATTCATGCACAGTAGACTCCTATATAGTAGACTATAAGATTTGCAGCTGGTCAGTGAGTAGCATGTTCATGACTCATATTGACTGCATGAGCATCTGAGTTTCTCTGCAATGCTTCTAAGTTATTTACAGCTGTTACCAGAGCCAGCACACACTGACTGCATGAGCATCTGAGTTTCTCTGCAGTGCTTCTAAGTTATTTACAGCTGTTAACAGAGCCAGCACACACTGACTGCATGAGCATCTGAGTTTCTCTGAAATGCTTTTAAGTTATTTACAGCTGTTACCAGAGCCAGCACTTACTGACTAGTTGTAGTATGTGGAGCTTCTATATGATCCTCTTTCCATTTCATCTGCCTCAATTCTGCTTTGCTAATGTCAGGGCATTATAGCACACATCTTGATTGCTTACTGTTTTCAAATACAGACGACCTTAACACAAAACATGTTACACTTAATTTCAATAGAATGAACTTCGCATGATTGTTTCAATAGAATCAGTTACCAGTTTGTAGACCAAGAAACTTGAGACACTTCTTTTAGGTTCTCTCAGAATAATCAGAAGTTAGAAGTATAATGTTTGTGTTCAGTGTGGTAGGACTTAAACTTCCTTTTTAGGGTTATATAACTGCCTCTACCATCTAGTGGTCAGCATTCCCGGCTACAGATCCAGAGGTCCGGGTTCGATTCCTGGCGCTATCAGATTTTTTCTGAGAAGTAGAGGGTCTGGAACGGGGTCCACTCAGCCTCATGATGATAATTGAGGAGCTATTTCAAGGAAACAGCGGCTCTGGTGTAGAAAACCGAAATTAACGGTCATGGGGTTTAGTTGTGCTGAGCACGCGACACCCTATATTTGCAAAAGTTGGTACTAAACTTTGCAGACAAGCAGCGGTTGCTCAGTTCACTTGCAGACTAAAATCGTGGAGTTTGTTTTTTTTTTTTTTTTTTTTTTTTTTTTTTTTTTTTTTTTAGGGTTTTATTTTCAATACAAGCATGATCTAGTTGAGTACAGCTCAGTAATATTTGTTACAATATATATTAGAATGTCTGTGTAGTTTCTGTCCTGGAAACTGAACTTAGTGGTGCTCACAGCTACAGCGTGCTGTGACCTGTGATGACTTCATGGAGCGTCTGAGTTTGCAAGAGGCAATGCTGCTGTCTGTAGTGACTTGCATCTGTCATGAGGACATGTCTGTTGCCAGTAGTGCAATGTCGCTCTTGAAGAGCCTTGGAGCCTCTCCAGTTGGACTCAACTTGTTGTACTCCATAACAGTGGTTAATGCCCTCAAGGGGGCCATGGCACAGCGAGACGTCATTCGCTTCCGAGTGTATGAGGTAATGGCGTATGGGGTTGTCAACCATTTTCAGTACTCATGGCTTTTGCCTGTTACTTATCAACTTTGGTCTCATGGTACGTCACTTAGTGCATTAACAGACAACATAAGCATTATTGGAATCGGCATGAAGCTGGCCACTGAACTTTGTGGTAGGACTGAGGCTAAGAATACTTGGAGCAGTATCTCCATGGCTCCATATGCCCTAATTGAGGACAGGGACAAATTTGCCTTTGCATGTCATAAAGTATACTGAAATCATTATAAGTGAATAGAAGTCCATTATACCAGCCAATAGGCCAGGCAATTAGTCAGTGACTTCTGAACATGTGGGCCTAGGTTCAATTCCAAGGTAGTCTGCATGGGATTGTGGTGGACAGAGTGGTACTGGGCAGGCTTATCTCTGAGAATTTTCACATACATCTTCCAGTTATTATTTCACTATCGCTCTATACTTATCTGAACAGGGCTGAGATGGCTACAGGATGGACGGTCAGGTTTTGATTCTTGCCAGGGAAAGATTTTTCTCTTCTCTACAGCATCCAGATCTCTGGGGCCCACCCAGCCTCCTATCCAATGGATACCAGGGGCTCTTTCCCTGGGGGTAAAGCAGCAGGGCCATGAAGCTGACCACTTGCATCCATCAAGTGCTGAGGTCAATAGGGTGGAGGTGTACCTCCAGTCCCCATACATCTTCCTAGCATCATTCTTAATTAATTGAGCACTAGAACAACTTTGCCTTTTGCCTTAACCACGCTCATCTATCATGAGGGGCTGGCACAGTAGGACGATTTGAGGCCATAGTACTAATTGATTCAGTGTTACTTTGCGCCTGCATGTAACTGAACCAGCTTCATGCTTCATGCAATCTGAAGGGATCATAGCATTATGACAAGTGTTTCAAGATCAGATTTTTTATTAAGATACATCTTTACAATATGTTGACCAGTTAAATAATGTGAATCAATGGCTGAGAGCCAGAACAGTGGAACAGGAAGAGGTGGCAATTGCTAGGCAGTGGCGTAGTAAACATGTTTCCACAGGAATGAATCAACATGCATCGTAGAGGAAATGATGGAATTGGTGTTTACTGTGTGGTCCATACTGCAGTTATATGTTGGGAGCCAACAGAAAAAGTTAAGTCAGTTGGAGGTCAGTGTTAATGATTAGAGTTGTGAGTTGCTAGTGGACAGGAGCTGTCTGTGGTTGGTCATGAGGAATCTCTGCTGTTAGCAGCTGCTACCTTGCAACGACTAGTTATGACAGAATAACAAACATGAGACTGTGTATGTGCTGCAGATGTAATGATTCACGGAGCATGTAAATTAGCGAGACTGTTAAAATAATTTGTAGTTCAGTTCTAAGCGTTTAGTAAATCCAGTTATTAATCAAAACCCCATGTCTGGTCACAATAGGTATGTTGATTTTGTTTACACACTACTGGTATAGTTACACTGTTCACCAATAGATATCTGTAGTGTAGAGCAGTGGTTCTCAACCTTTGTCAGACTGGGGCCCAGTAAATTCTTTTTGCTACAACTGGGCCGCGGCCCGGTGGTTGAGAAACTGTGGTCTAGATAGGGAGTTTGTTCATATTTCAGCCTTACATCTGAGGTGACTCTGTTAGCGACAGTGCAGTGTTCTGACAGCCATGTCTATTGAAGCTGCCTGATGTTCGCAGGTTGTGACTGATGTAGCTGTGCACTTGGAAGATGGACTGCAGGCTGGGCATGCCAGTGGGCTGCTTCCTGCCCTCCTAGCAGAGCTGAATGGTGCTGACATCCTGCTGCAAATGAACACTCTGGAGCTGCTAACAAAGCTGGCCCTGCATGAGCATGGCCTTCGCTACCTGCAGCAACATGGTGTTCTCTCTGCACTTGCCAGCAAGGTTGCAACCATCAACAAGGATCCTCTCGCATCACTCTTATTGCCAGGTTAACCTTAACATTCTCTGTGTGTGTCTTACTTATCTTTATTATGGGCTGTGTAGTCTATGACAGGGCTGCACAAAGCCCAATTGCCAAGTTTTCATTATGCCTAAAATGTTTGAGGTGGCACTTAGAATTATCTTCTTGTTATACTACTACTAGCACTTGCTGTTTTGAAGATGGTGGTTAAAACAATGGCTTTCTCCTTCATCACTTTCATGCCCTTATCTCCTTTACTCATTTCCTGTTCACTTTAATTGTCCATCCTCTGATTCCCCACCTCCTTCCTTCTTTCCTGTCCTTCATGTTAAGACATTTCCTTCACCCTGTCATTCCATCCTTTTGTCCCTTAATTTCCAATCGTATTCCTTTACTGTCCCTTTTATTGGCCATCCTATCATCAGTTGTGTCCCCATAAACTAGCAACAGCCCATTGGGTTTTCTCCAGCTAAAAAAAGGAAACTGGCTTTTATTTACATGTGGAGGTTTGTTACTGGAGATGAGCAAATTTCTCGCCTGAGTTATTTACTTTACATATTTATTTTATTTTTTGTTCTGGCCCTCACACAGTAGTGAAGTTGCTAGAGGCACTGTGCTACAGGTTCGTGACCAGATAAGGTGGCTTTTTTCAATTTACCTAATCCTTCCGGCTGCAAATAGCCCTGGGGTAAACTCAGGCTCTTAACAGAAATGAGTACCAGGAATATACATGGGGGTGGGGTTAAGGGCAACCAGCGCTTAAGGCTGGCAACAATACCACCATCTGCAAGCTGATTTTGTAGAGAAAATATAGGGCCCTGAAAGTGTCAGAACCCTATGGGCCTTCACAGCCTGTTACAGGGATAGCTTTACCTTTTAGTCTGGCCCCTATTTTTGAGTTGGCTTCTAGATCAATAGGAAATGTGTGCATGCCTGGCCAGTGGTATCCAGCCTGTTTGTGTAACTTCAGCATTTGGGGTTTAGCCATGCCATGTTTTAGAGCTGTTCCAGGATTTGATTCTAAGTTGGAATTGCCATGCTCAAGGTGAAGAAGGAAGAAGTAGCCAAGTATGTTTTGCCTCAGAGTGTGTGAACGAGGGTGGGAATGCGGTATATGGTGGTACCCTATGGGAAGAATCTAAGCAGTTAAGAAGAAGGGTTGCAGGAAAACAGATGGAGGCAGTCAGTACCCAGTTTCTGTATTCATATGCACAGTTGAATATGTGCAGATGTTTGATTTTTTCATTGAATTTCCTGATGATGTGCTGAAGATGCATGTTATGTTTGCTATTGGTTCAATTTTATCTAATTTTATCCAATGTTCGCTTACTTCATTTTGTAGTGTCAAGTTGAGGATTTTCTTCATAACCACCATCTTTGTTACAGGATTGATCAAGTTTTTTGGTAACGTGGCACAGTCATGGCCAAAGGAGGTGTTTGCAGACTATCCGAACATGGTGACAACTTTGTTTGAAATGTTTGATAACCCTGATCTCGTGCTGCTAGGAGTTGCGATGGAGACAGTGGGCTATATTGGTACATCTGTTGAAGGGAAGTACATGCTGGAGAGCCAAGGTGTGTCATGTTTTTAAACTCTAATATTTACTAATTTATTTTAGATATAAACTATAATGTTTTCAGATACTGCAGAAATTTTTGTCAGTCATGCATTCAATTTGAAATGATCAGTGTTTCAGTGCGACTCCATTCTCTTGCAGGGGACACAATGCGGAACACAATAAAGAAATTGGCAGACATGATCACAAATCTTCCTACAGAGTGGCGGGTGCGTGCACTCAACACTGTTGCCAACCTCCTGGAGCTGAAGGTAATATTTCAGTCAGGTTACCACCTATTTACTGTCAAGATGCTTTTAGTAGCTTATGTTGGGTTGTTTTTTTTTTATGCTGCCTTAAAGTGTGTGGGATTTGAGGTTATCATGGCAGCGACTGTGATGTGATGCAGTGGAGTTTGGTAGATTATACCAGTGTTTCAGGGGAACCTGGTGCCTCCATATTCAGGGTCAAGGAGTAAGCCAGGTGTGGAAAAATATGGTGTGCAAACAAGGAGATGGGGGGGACAATGCAAATAAGGAAAACAGTGTGAGGAATGTGGGCCCTCTGAATGAGGTGACAGTGGTTTGTCCCCCACCATTTGCTCTGCTTCTGAAATGACCTTGTTCTGTTTCTCTGGACTTTCCTCTGTCTCCTGTTGGTTCACTCAGGGCCATTATTTCTCCCATTTGCTGCAACCTTGGAAAGATGTGGTGCTCAACCACCTGAACCATGTGAGAATCTGTATTAGATGTTATGAATATCAATTCAAAGCAGTGGAGTACAGCAACTTCTTTATGTGTGTCTACTTACCATGCATTCACTCCATTAAAGGGGTGCAACAGGTGGCACTGATCTGTGTTCCATAGGTTTGCAATCAAGACACACAATCCCTGGCACTTGTAAAATCATGGTTTGAGCAGTTGGCACCTGATCCCATGGAACTGGTGATGTCAGTTTGTCGTCAGCCATTCGTCGAGTTGCGGTTAGCAGGTCTGCAGGTCCTGCAGGTTTTGGCAGAGCAGCAGTGGGGCCAGGAGATAATGAACAATACTTCAAGTAAGTCATTCATCACCATCAATACACAAATTAAATGCAGTGTATTCTTAAAAATGTATTATTTTTTGGGGTGGTAAAGTAGCTGGTGCCGGTCACGGTAGCAGAGCGGTCTAAGGCATGCACTGTCTTTGCTCGTTTGGAAGGCGGGATTGTGGGTTCGAATCCTACTCAGGGCATGGATGTTTAGTGTTTGTGTATGTGCGTTTTTCTGTGTTTGTGTACAGGTAGAGGCCTTGCGACGAGCTGATCACCCGCCCAAGGAGTCCTACTGAATGTTAAAATCTAGTAAACCAAAGTGAAACAGAGAGTTTCATGGAGGTAGGCCTAGGCCCAAATTGGGGCTGTAGCGCCACAGGAGAAAAAAAAGTAGCTGGTATGTTTTCTGCCTACACTTTGTTAAGAAGTGCTTAGTACTAAATTTCTTAGCTGTAAATATAAGATAAAAGTTCTTGAGTTAATGTAGAAAGGTAACCCAAATTCTCTGATGTGGTATGAGGCACTCTTTTAGACTTGGCTCTTATTTAAAAGCCACATTAATCTCTATTCGAATCTGTTATATCATGAAAATGTCATATTCCGTGTATGTATAAAGAAGCAGTAAGAAACAAAGTAGAATTTATAGATAAATACCTTGGAAGACAAATTAATGAACAACAGAATAAGATGGAATTGGCATGTTTTAAGAATGAAAGAGTTGCAGAGCAGGTTTGAAAATGAAACTGAAGGGAAAGTACCCAAGAGATGAACATGGGGATAACAGATTAGGAAAGATGTCACACAGAAGGAAGGCTGATAACTGGAACAAACTGAGAATGAGGACACATGCAGATGGAGAGGCTTGGTTGCAAGATGACAACTAAAAGTGGAGATGTCAGAGGAAGCATAAAGGGATTGTCAAAAGTATCTAGTTCACTTCACATGTATTGGTTTATTAAATATTCATAACATGTTTATTTCTTCAGAATTTTCAATATCTGGTGACATTTTTTATACACAAGTTTCATCTAAGTTGGCTAGTGAACTAAATAGTTATTCGTTCGACACATACATGGACAGTGGTCATTTTGAAGGACTGTGTTTCAGGTCTGATTGAGTTTCTGCTGGATCGAGGAATTGAGGCAAACAAGCTCTGCAAGGATGCTAAGTATGAAGTAGTGAAGACAATAACAGAGTCACCAACAGCTGCCACTTCATTTGGAAATGTCACGTTACTGAGGTTCCGGGAATTTGTGTGTGAAGGTCCATTCTATGTTCAGGCACAGTCTGAGGTGGCCATAGAAGGTGCCTCATGAGGTACATTAGTGTGTGTATGTGTGTGATGGCAGGGAACTGTACACAACATGTTGCAGGTATGATTCATCTTATATCCCCGCACAAACTTGCCACTTCTCTGATTGAGCATTTAAAATCAAGATGTTATTGCTTGCATCAGTTTGTCCCTTGATAATCGTCTTCAACATCTGGGTGCCACCACCATAGCAGGGGGATTTAAATTGTCCATACCTGCATATTAAATGCTAAGGACTGTTTTCATTATGTTAGGATTGCTGTGAGAGGTACAGCAGTAAGGATATTGCAAGATGCCAAGAAGACATGTAAGATCTTATATTAATACCAATATTAGAAACATGTCAAATGTAACCAAAAAAGCACCGAAATGGTTTTGTCGCAGGTGGATATTTTCCGNCAATTGTCAGTTTGATAATGTAAGAAATATACGTATATTGAAATTTGGCATTGCATTGAACTGAAACTGTTACCTGTCTTTCCATCATTTTCCTGGTCCCATATGTTTCTGTTTTTAATGCCAAATTCATATCGACGCATAAGTTATCAGTCAAGAATTAACCATCTTTGTGTTTGATTTGAGGTTCTTGTGGTAGTGACTTAAAATATTGCCATTTTCCAGGATGTTACACCATATAGTCTGGTAGAATTTACAACATTTGAGTCTTTTTTCCCCTGAAGATGAAGACAACAGGTTCCTTCAAAAGTAGGTAAACATCTACTAGAGTGACTCATGTATTTACATGTTTGTAATCTGCTGTTTTTCACAGACAGTAACTGGATGAGCTTGGGTTAAAGAGTCAGGACTTCTGTAGTGAAGGACTAAGGCTCATGACAGATTCATTGTTCCTTTCCCCTCACTTATTTTTGGTAAAGGTATGTCTTTGTGATGAGACTTCAAACTGTGAGCCCCACCTTACTGTTGGGGTATAGTTGAGCATGAGGTGGCTGCTGTTAAGAAATAGTCTCCATTACCATGCCCCAGGCAGGCAGAGGAAGGCAGTGTTACAGCTTAGGGTCTCTTGTCAAAACTGGCCTCAGAAAATGAAAGAAATGTATATTGTATTTTAATTGTAACATTTTCAAGCTTTTGAATGTTTTTGTATTCTGTTCCTGTGATAATAATACAGGTCACAAGACAATACCAGTTTTTGGTTCAGTTGTTACTTTCTCATTATATCTTTGCCAGTGACCACATTCAAGGTTACAACTTCAGTTTCTGCATTTACTTTGTATCCTATTAATATTTGCACTTGGGACAGCACAGTTGGTATAGAAACTCACTACAGACTGAATGGTTGAGGGGTTGCAGTTTGAGTTGTGGTAGGGGCAAGATTTTTCTCTTCTCCATGTCCACCCAGCCTTCTATCGAATTGGTACCAGTGGCCGGAGCGTGAAGCTGGCCACTCACCTCCATGTAATGCTGAGGTCAAGAATATGTGTATATATATGACCACTCCAACATATGTGTTCATGGCATAGTGCTTAATTGATTGCCCCTAGAGATAATCCTGGGTTTAGGAAAAGAAGGAAAGAGTAAAAAAAGAGGTACTGTAAAAATATGGCCCAGTGAACTTGTAAATGACAAATAAGAATAATACAGAGTAATGATATCATGACACAGTGGGCCCATGTATTTGAACAAGGTAACCACTGATCTTAGTGGTTTAAAATACCCACTGCAGCATATTGCAGTGGCTAAGGCCAAAGGAGTGTAACAAATAAATACAATGCAAGTAAATAAAGACATGGCAGTCAGCTCAAGGGGTTAGGGCTCGACAAGGAATATACACAAACTAGGGGGTTCTGACAGAGGTGAGTAAATCAAAAGGAAGGGCCAAGACCGAAATTTAGAAACATGCTGTACCTGAATTTAGAAAACAGACACTTACCTTCCAATCCCCAATCAGCAGATCTCTGTCTACGTGCCTTATGGATTTTGCTACAGCCAAAACACTGATCGGCTTGAAATCTAGACCACAAATGAATGCCGAAGGAGTGCATGGATATTTCCTGGTAGACAGTGGGAGTGGGAGTGGATAGGACAGGTCGCTTGAGAAGGTGATCACAGTCTGTTTCAGAATAGACTGCACTAAGCTGGGTAAAGGACAGCTCACTTTGCTTATGACAAGTGTTTTGGCTAGAAGTGAACACAGCAGTATGCAGAAAAGGTGTTAACTGTGAGGAAAGTCACCCGCACTGCTCACACATTTTTGTGTGGCCTCTGTATAGTGGAGACACACAAAGACTACATAACAGGATATGGTAGTTAGCTGGGAGTTTGTAGGTACAGGTGTGCAAGAATTTGTCATAACATTTATTATTTAAAGTTCACAAAACAAAGTTTGTATATACAGTGGCTGGCACATTTCCTGCCATGCAGACTTAAGTGGGAAACTACCCTATGTGCTGAACACTTTTGTTTGGGAAGGTGTCACACTGTAAAAGTGAAATTATTTTACTTCAGCCCTTTCTAGTCCATGTTGTTTCCAGCCAGCAGCTACAATTTAGTTTGCACCAAAACTAAAAATGAAGGTGAAACTGGTGTGAGAAGACATGAATCGCATGTCTTCTGCTGTTCCTGTATGTAGACGAGATGTGAAAGTACATAAAGAACAAAGATATAATACTCAGCACACAATTGTAATGTGGCATTGAAGTGGCACAAGGCATCCAACAGTGGGTCTTCACAAGAAGTCATATGACAAAGGCTAGAAAGGGCTGAGTCTTACAAATGCTGGTCTCTGGAAAACAGTTTCTTCAGTCCCTTACTCATCACCTTCAAATTTTCTGTACAAATCACATTTCCCAGCAATTTATTACAGCAGCCTCTGACACACTTATCTTATATGCATATCCTTATGTTTAAGAAGAACAACATTAAATTCTGATCAGTAGTTCTGCCATCTAACAGAGAAGATTACAGTTACATGTTTCAAGATATGTGAAAGTTGGCAGGACCAACCATGAAACTGTGTCCTGGTAAGTGCTTGGGAACAAGTGTCATAATGAATCGGAGTATATGATGTGTGTGGTGTTGGTTTTCCTCTCTTAATGGACTATTTCATTACTTTTAATTGCAGTCAGTTTGTAATTCCTGTGTATGAGGTTCATACCAGGATGTATTGGCATAGAGAGGGGTTGATGAAATCTTCCTGACTTCACACATCATTTAATATTGAACACAATCCTCACTGATACAGCTGATGACTGCTCAGCTGACTTAATGCTAAACATTGATACTTACCTGATATATAAAACAATGTAAAAAAACTGTCCATTTAAAGGGATGCTATCAAGTTTGATTGTATCACTCATTTAATATACAGGGTGGTTTTTAATGAACTTGGTGCATTCATGGGTCCATGCTTCACACAACCAGTGCATCACTAGTTTCTGTTCTCAGAACTAATGTATGTAAATTGTGACATGTTCTATATCCGCTGGCTTTGGTAGCCATTTCATTTCATTTATGGAAATGAAAATAAAGATACAAGATACAGAAATACGCATTGCTCTGATGTATCACAAACTGTGATGTGCCAAATTGTGGACTCTTAACTGGGAACAGATGGCTCATGGCACCCATAACTACTGCCTACTGCTGAGAAGTCATGAACAAACTCTCATGTGTGAACCACGCTTCCTGCCATGTAACATACTACGTTGTAGAAGTATACTAGTTAATTATTTTCCTGCATTCCAAACGTTAGTGGCCGTCAAGCATGCTGAGTCATTGGAAAAATTTACATGTGCTTAGTGGCTGGCAATGCCTCAGTAGAGGTGAAGCGCGGAGCTGTAAGCACATCAGTAGCTTTAAACATTTCCCTGTGTAAGGAACACTGATAAATATAGAACATTGTTCCTGTCACTTTGAACGTTACTACTGATGTGGTATTTTCCGCATCAGTACGTGTTTCAGATCTGTTTTTGTTCTGCTTCTTGGTGCTATGAGGTGTCATTTAATTCGTGCATAAGCCAAACCTTATCATTGAGACTTCTTCCGTCTTTCTGGTGCCACAATTTTCAGCAATGAGACCACAGGAGCCTCAAATGCTAATGATACGACAAATGACAGGATATATGACGCCACAACTTGTCCAAAGAAGATGATTGTCTGAAAGCAGTGGAATATACATTGTGTTGTGTGACACAGTATTAGCCTTCCACACTGAAAATTCTAATGTAACTTTGGTATTTAGGATTGCAAGGTTTCTGGACTTTGTCGTACATTGCTGGACAAGGTCCGGTGATTGATATTATCTCTTTGTAATGGACCAAAATTAGTAGATCCGCTGTACCTTTTACCAGAAGACAGTAACAGAAATAATTTATGAAACATTATGCTAGATGATGGACGAAGTCCAGAAATCCAGCAATCCCTAGTGTATTACATGATCATCACAACCTTTTAGAGTTGGTGTGTAACTTTACCAGTCTGATTGATATTTTAATTCTTTATGGTCAGGTAAAGCTATCCCTGTAACAGGCTGTGAGATGTTGAGGTTCCCACATTTTCTGGACAGTTTGTTCACAGATGGTGGTGAGGTCCCTGTGTTTAGTGTGCTTCTCATATCATGTTGCAACTGACTGTCACATGAAATAAACTCTTCATGCCTCTCCTGTGGCAGTAGAGTCCTACATCTCTTGGCTACATATTAAACTGTTAGTCTCTACATAATTATTGTAGTACTGTGTTCAGTGTATAAGCATATCCTTTTTTTTTTATGCTTGATCTAATCAGCTGTAAAACCAGTGAACCATATGCCTTAATGCAATTGGCAGTTTGTTGCTGAACCACATGCATGCATTTGTGATCTGGGTAATGATGTTATTCAGTTGACTAGTGATAACCATTTCAGAAGAACATACTGTCTTCATCTTCGGTGGAAAACTGAGTGGAATTTATAAATGGGTCATGGAGAACAGGATACTGACCAATAAAAGGGATACAAAGAAAGGGAAAGGTCCCTAGGCAAGTTAATGGGAACTTTTTACCTAAAATGGGACAACTGTGAAAGCTGTTATAAGGACTGCGGGCAGAGGGAAGCCAAATCACGGTGTGTCCTCCAATGTTGGTAATCATGTACACCATATTATCTCCAAGAAAATACACCTAATCTCGTACGTGTTCATATGATTTCATTATGCATTTACTGTATCACAAGTACAGGTAAATCATCTTCCTCATCAGTGACACTGATGATGGTGTTGCTACATTCTGAGAATGCAGACTTGGGAAAGGAAAGACCACTTTACTCACCATAATTTCCAGACTGAGGTGCATGGGGCTGTCCATTCGCATGGCCATGATTCTTATCATAATGGGATGAACAAGGTACGCACAGTATGTTACCCTACTGAACGGATACAGGAATGATGCTGATAGTAACTTGTTCACATAACCTGCAATGTTAAAACAGACCCAGAGCAGTGAAACAACTTTAGGGGATGAGCAAACTTTTCCCATGTGGAGATGGGTTAGAATACCACCACCAAAACCCTGAGAGTTGTAGAAGGTGACAAGAAGGGAACCCAGTGGCTAGATACAGAGACCTGGTCCTACAGGTTGGGGGTCAGATGCAAGCAGTGAAAACTGTGTGGTTTAAGACCAATCTGGCAGAATCTTCTAAGCTATTCTATGGCTCAAAAGGGGAAGTTTTGCTGCTGCTGCTGCTGCTGATGATGATGATGATGATGATGATGAGGCTGCGACAAGAAATCCCATAGTTTGACCCTTTCCACCGCTCCATTAAGCTGTTACACTCACCTTTCAGTGTACTTCTCTATGTTTTCTAGCTGTTCTGTTCACTTGAATGTTAACAGAGATAACCTTTGCTGGCAACATGCACTTTGGGCTTGTTGACACAGGCCACAGGGTGCTGGAGGGAAATACAGCAGTAGGCAGAGAGGTGGAAACTTTGAGCCCTGTATTCGCCTCTATCCATGGTGACTTTTTGCTCTGGCCTGAGCACAGGTAGTTTCATTTGAAACTGAATTGTTTATGTGGTTCTTATAGGGGTTGCAAATGTAATAATTTCTCTGTTTTTGCCTTGGTGTATACTACTAATGTAGGTCCTTAAAAGAAAGTAAATGAAAATCAGTCAAAACTAACTTCTCATGCTTTCTTCTTGGAAGTAATGTCCTTATGTTCCCCCAGTTGATCCTTCTATAATCATTAACACATTGCGGACCGGAGGGGCCATATGGCCCTCTACGTTTCCAAGCGTTGCGGACCGGTCGGGCCATATGACCCTCTATGGTCACGTTATGTTGCAAAACGCTATATATCGCTGTGTGGCTTCGTTGAATCGTAACTACTGCGTAGATGACCTCGGGAATGATTGCTGCCTTATCTAGTAACTTGACCAGAGTCATTTCTTGTCACAGCCTAAACAAAATTGGCTTTGTTCTAATCCAAGCTTGCACGTATGAACCACGCAGCTACCAGTTCAACATGGCTCAGAGACGAAAGCAGTTGCGATCTCTCGGAGGACAGGAAATATTAGATATGTTCTCTGATGAGCTATCAGATTTGCCAACTGCTTCGTCTTCTGATAGCGAGGCCATTATCAGTGACAGTGACAGTGACGGGGGCCACAGGGCTGCCCAAAATGTGTCAAGTGAAAGTGAGAGCTCCGTTGAAAGTGCAAGTGTCAGGACAGCTACATGGGATAAAGTGGACAAAACCCCCACTTTGGGAAAGTTTACTGGTGATCCGGGGGTGAAGCAGATGCCATCATACCCAACGGACGTGTCTGAAGTTGCGTCACTGTTTTTTGGAGATAGTTTCTTTGACCTGTTGTGTCAGGAAACTAACAGATACTATCTCCAACACCGTGAGGCGTACGACAGAACCAATAAGGTTTTGAAGTGGGTGGATGTCACTTCAACAGAAATGAAAAAATTTTTGGCTATAATCATTCTAATGGGGCTTACGAAGAGAGAAAGTTTGAAGGATTATTGGTCAAGTGACCCATTTTTAGAAATTGCAATTTTCGGCAAACTCGTGAGTCGTAAGAGATTTGAACAGATATGGTGGTTTATTATGGTGGATTATTTCAACAATAATGAAGTGCAACCACAACCAACGGGCAGGCTTTTCAAAATTCAGCCCTTATTAGACATTTTGGTTGAAAAATTTCAGACAGTTTATAAGCCAGAGCAACAACTGTCTTTGGACGAATCTGTGATTCCTTGGAGAGGAAGGCTTCGTATTCGAACGTATAATCCTGGGAAGCTCACAAAGTATGGCCTACTTGTTCGTGTTGTCACGGAAAGCACTTCAGGCTATATAGGAAATTTAGAAATTTATTCTGCTGAAGGCAAGAAATTGCAAGAAACTATTGTTTCTGTTTTGGGTCCCTATCTCGATCAAAATTATCACGTGTATCAAGATAATTGTTACAACAGTGTGGCAACTGCAGAATACCTACTTTCAAGGAAAGTACGTATTTGTGGTACAATTAGGGTGAACAGAGGCCTTCCTTCAGATCTGAAAGAGGAATGTAAATGCCTGAAACGTGGCGACACCGCATTCAGGAGG